GCAACTCGACAGGAGATTAAACCGATGTTCTGTTGACGGACTCCTAGGAATTCGGCGGAGTTGGATCCATGAAGTTCGGACGACCACAGCAGATGCTTAGTCACTTCGTTCGTGACTTATCAGTATTGTTCCTTTTTCTGCTTTTCTTCTCTTGCGACAAACATACTCGCCCACGAATCATATCATCCTCACAGACGTACCAGCCTGGTTTGGCTCTCGTTATCTGAAGGAATTTTTGTCTCGAAGGGTCGAGGATGGACCGCCAGCCACCGACATGACGCGACAAGAACCTCCGTCATCTTTCGGCCGAATGCAGGTCGGGACTGCAGCAGCATCCACTGAGAAACGTCTACTCCGCGCCAAAGCGTCTCATCACTTCTCATCGGAGTCCATCCCGCATCCGCAGGTTTCTTGGGCGCACAAACAAACGAAATTTTCCTCGGCCTCCCCCGTCAGCCTGCTTGCCAGCTGTAGGTGTCCGTTGCAGCACGGAACAGGGCGGCCTCTCCCCGCCAGCTTCCAAATCGCTCAACGGCAAACGCCTCGCCTCAGGGGGCAGTTTCGTCTCGGCCTTTGCTTTCAACTGGATTTTGCCGGAAGCAGGTAAGCATTCAGCGTTGCACGCAACGATCCGGCTAGCCTGGTAGGCCTGTTAGCGGCGATCAGCCACCACGTGGAACACCGTAGTCAGGCTTTATCCGAATTCTGAATGCCTCCGCTTTTCCACCCCCTGACCGTTCTTCTCGGACCTCCCGGCTCGGATCTTGGCTTACCTCCAGCCATGGCCTCATTATGCGAGTGATCCGGCCGCACGACAAACAACTTCCTCACGGGGCACGGGGCAGCAACGTTGCTTTTCCTGCCAACCCCTCCTGCTTCCTTCTGTCTCGATGACTGGGAGTGGCTAGGCCAGGATGACTTGGAAGAGAATCATCCAGACCCTGGGTCCAGAGATGAAAGGCCAGGAAACGGGCAGACGAAGGGCGCTACCACGCGCCGTCTTTTCCGCCATTCCTTGAACAGTGAAGACCTCCATGGCTCTTCAAGCGCTTCCCCCGGTGCCGCTCGGACGGTGCTCTGTGCTCCCGGCGTCCAAACGTTGAACACTGCAGCGTCCGAGCGGACTTGTCAAACTGCAGGTAGTGGCCGCCCTCCGCTTGGGATTTGGGATGTTGCGAAGGGGTCCTTCGTCTTGCAGGTCGTCCTTGGTTTGCGGAGTCTATGGGGAAACAAGCTTCAGAGACGTGACGAACCAGCCAGTGCTCACTCCGCGACCAAACGGCCCGACAAGCTCTGTTAGGTTTTGAGGGGTTGAAGAATGCAAGGAATACTGTCAGGAAGCACTCGCAAAGACAGTCTGGTCCCAAAGCATGCGGGCGTTCAAGACTCTGTTGCAGGCAGGTGTCGTGGCGCCGCCTCATGAACGACTGTCGTGTGGCCGCTCAGCCCTAAGCTCAATTTCTAGCATGAGTCTGGATAGTCCTTTGGTGGCGGCTACTGCCAAAAGGACATGAGCTGCATTGGAGGACGCCATTCGTGAAGGTAGTCCCAGATGGCTGTGAGCTTCCCCGGAATCCATCGAGACGGCCGTCAGCTTGCTTGTTGTCGGGGCAGCTTCCTCCCATGTGCCAAGTGCCACGTGCCTGAACAGTCGGAACATCTGAGCAGCCATGAGCACCCACGAGCGTACCCCTGCAGATTGCTGCAGAAAAGTGAATGTCTCTCCCTGAAATTCGGATGTATCCTGTGGCGCAGTCCGATGCATGTGTTGGTTCTAGGGCTGTTGCGTTTCATGGAGCCGAAGTTGGGCGACGGCTCCTGGGCAGGAGCAGAGTGATGCTTGGAGGCGAGTTGATTGTGTGTAGGTAGGTAGGCAGGGCAGGTGGGCCTCAGTTCGACTGCAGGATCCGACAAGACTCCTCGAGGGAGATGCTTGCGAACAGAAAGGAGTGACATGTTAAAAGTAAAGCATTGAGGATGCAACTTCCTCTGCGTGGGCACAGTGCTGCTGGGAAGGAGCGATGCTTGGATCAATAAGGCCGGCCCACGGGGGCTGGCTGCCTCCCAACCACAAAACGGATTGGAAAGAGGCAATAGGTGAGGGTTCCACTTGTGGAAGGAAGGAACTCTTTCGGAAAGCAACTCCAAGTATCGGTGTGCCTCTGTTGGATTCCATTCCTCTCGACGACAAAACTGACCTCCATCCTCGAGTTGTGCGCATTCATTGCCCAGATTGCATCAACATTCAGCAACTTTTCTCTAATACTCCTACAACTACTTCGATATTTCTTTTCTCGTTTTTTTGGAACCTTGAAACCCATCGCTTCTTGAACCACGCACGCAACATTCCCCTAACACCAATGTCTAACCCCCAAGCATCCGGTCAGACTCCCCAGGGTCCTGACAAGCAGCATCCAGACAAACAGCAGGGCTAGGTCCCCTTCTTTACCGAGCATGACGGTGCTCCCCTTGTCGACAGCAAGAAGAAGCCAACGCCAGCTACTAGCAGACCTCCCACCCAGGCCAACAGCAGTCAAAACCCTTTTGGTTACACCGAGCCAGTGCCCACTCCCACGGAAGACCAAGATCAATTCATTGAGTTAACTTTGGGCAAGCCTGTTGCTACTGTGGAGACTTCCAACGACAACAACTTCGACGGAAAGCCGTCCGAGGAGCCTTCCTCCCGGGCTGGCGGTAGACAGCATGCTGTCGATACGTTGATGGATTCAGCTCCCCAAAGCACTGAGCCACACACTGCCCCTGAGATGACTATTTGTGGCAATGAACTGTCTGAAGAACAGTACAGACAAGCCGAAGACGCACAGAAGGGCTTCTTCGACCACCACAGGAAGTCCTCCACGGAGTTCAAGTCCATGCACGGCACTTTTGGCGGCGACGGTATGAAGGAGATGTCTGACGGTCTGAAGGAGAAGTCTGGTGATCTGAGGGAGAAGTCTGGTGATGTATTTACGACTGCCAAAGGCAGAGCGAAGGAGACGTCTGGTAATGCAGTCACTACTTTCAAAGCCATCGGCAGAGAGGAGTTTGAAACCCAGAAGAAGGTGGCGCGAATGTTCAAGGGTCTCCTGCAGAGATGTAAGTCACCACGGCTCCGTTGATGAGATTGATATCTAACGGCATTATCAGCTTCTGGGTCCAAGTCGGAGTCGGACTCTGCCGCAGCTGGAAGCGTCCGTCCAGACCGCAATACGCGCAAGGATCAGAAGGAACACAAGCCGACAAGTGGCAAAATGCCCCGAAATTCGCAGCGAGTGCAGAAACGGAGCTCGAAACGCGGGAAGCCGTCCTCTGATTTCTCGAAGTTGGGCTCTCTTGTACCGACTGAGAAGCAAAGAGACGACGTGCCGAGACAGGGTCAAGAAGACAAAGGCCAGAAGACAGTCGATAAGTGTCCAGATAAGTGTCCAGAGAAAACCGATCCCCACCACGCACCAACGCCACCTTGCGAGTCCCCGAAGGAGTAGATGACACCCACCAAGGCCCAGGAATGCATGGGATGAGGAGGAAATACCTATGATTCGAATAGTCTTCCCCTAGTACCAATACAACAAACAATGCTGTTCACCCTTAGTGTGCCTTTTTGCGTGAGACTGCGTGCCATGACCTAGTCAACTCAATTCCTAAACGCCGTATCCGATTTACCATTCCACTCTAGCTCACCCTGCCATCGTCGTGTTCAAACCCAGATACCGCTTAATCCATAGAACCAGCCAGCGCAACAGCACTAAACCGCAAATCGGCACCCTCTCTCTCCAAGAACTTCAACGGTCCCCAGGTAAGCGCCTTCTCGCTCAACACATCCTCGCCCTCCTCCAACTGCCCCCTTGCGAGGGGTCCCTTGCGCCGTCCATCAAGCTCCCACAGCGTGCCATCGTTGCCGCGCACGAAGCAGACGTAGTGCAGATCGATATCGTCTGCCGCCTGCGGGGCCTCCGTCGCGCCCTGCGAAGCCGCCTCGCGGTGCGCCGTGGCCAGCGCAGGCGTCTTCTCGAGGAGCTGTGCGCGGGCGACGGGATCGAGGGGCTCGGCGTTCTCGAGCAGCGTGTTCAAATCGGAGGGCTTCTCTGTTGCCATCACGAGCAATGCATCAGCTCATCTGTTTCTCCCCAACTCGCGCAGCAGATGTCGAGAAGAACTTACGAATATACTCCCTCGCGGGCCCGTTGCTCACCGCATGCAGCAGCCCCATCAGCCCGCACGCGTTGCGGATCGTCTGGCGGAACCACAGCACCGGCTCCTGCGGGCCCTTGCCCTGGTACTCCTCGAGCAGCGCGTCCTCGGCCAGGCGGTGGCTCTCGTAGGCGGCGCTGACGGGGAAGACGAGCAGCACGGCGAGGGCGGGCCGCGGGATGAAGGAGAGCATGTCGGCGTCCGTGAGGGAGAAGACGTCGTGGATCGCGAGCGCGGGGGACAGGCCCAGCTTGTGCAGGAGCGTCGTCATGAGCTCTGGGTTGGCTTCGAGGGGGATGAAGGCCGGGGCGGAGGCGGAGGGGTCTGGGTTTGTGGACGACATTTGGGCGGCTTTTTCTTCGTCTGTGTAGTGTTTGTTATCTGTAGATTTGCGGTGGGTTGTGAAGTCGAGTTTGGAGGTGTAGGTTGAGGATGGGAGAGCTATTTGCCCCTCCAAATACCAAGGTCCAAGAGCCGGAAGGTATGGTGGGGTCGGTGAGGTAACCGCTGCCGCCTGAGCTTTGAGTGCGGGGTGTTGGAGCTTGGGGTACCGGGTTACTAGAGACCCCTGTCAACAACCGAACATGATAGACGCAACGCATTCACAAAAGGAGGCGAGCAGGTGTCATGAACATATTCTATTCTAGAGCGGCGCTTGTTCCTTCATGTGGCCAGCATTGATTTACAGTTCTTGCGTGTCGTACCCAAAAGGCGTCCTCATCCATTTTTGCGCCGTCGAATGCCACTCGTCCGTCCCCCGTCTATGTGATTTATATGGATGGTTTTACAGTATGATTTACAGGAGGATCTCAACCGGCTGACGGTGATTCTCTCCGGTCGTGACTTTCTGCGTCGTGCAGCTTCTCGTCCACCTTGTCCCAGTTCTCGTCGCTCGTCACCTGCTCGTCGAGCTGCTCGTACTCCTTCTCGTCGCCGACGAGGGGCTCCTCCTCCGGCGTGGGCTCGACCCACGAGTCAACTTCTACAGCGGGCGTCTTGGCCTTGCCCTTCTCGATGGCCTCCAGCTCGTCGCGCTCCATGCGCAGCCTGTCCTTCTCCGACTGGTTCTTCAGCGCCCTCCTGCGCTGGTTGTCGCGCAGCTGCTGGTTCATGTCGGTCTGGAAGACGGTGTTGGTCGCGAGGTAGTGCGCAATCTTCTCTTCGACAAAGTCCTTCATGTGGAACGCCAGCGTCTGGCTGACGAAGATGCTCGGGAAGCGGTAGCTGACCCACAGGTACAACGTGATGGCCTGGTGCAGCGTCTCGATAGCGCGCAGGTACTTCCTGCCGTCCTGCTGGCCAATGTCGTCGATCGAGGCGTCAAGCAGCTCAAGCGGGATCTCCTTGATGTCGTAGAGCGCGCCGTTGCGGCGCGTGGCGATGCGCTTGGCGATGGCGCGCACAATCTCCTTCTGGCCCTTGTCCTTGTTGACGGGCGCGTTGAGGATCGTGATGCGCTCCTGGACCGTCATGGGGAACTCCTGGATGGTGTCGGCGATCTCGATGGACCGCTCGTTGACGTGGACGGAGTAGCGCTCCGAGACGGGGGCCAGCTCGCGCAGGCGGAGGAGGATAAAGCTGAGGGGCGTGTCGGGCGGGAAGTACTCGGAGAACCTTTCGATGACGAAAGCTGGCGGGTGGATGACCGCCGTCTCCAGGGGTTCGGCCTCGTTTTGGAAGGCTTTCCGGATCGTCTGCAAGTCGTCAGGGTCTAGTGTTGTCACGTAGCCCATCTTCTTCTCTTCTACTGGAGCGACTGCGGTCGTATCTGTGCTGGCGTCGCTGGTGGTGGCTTGTCTGGCAGTCTTGTATCGGCCTGCTCTGCCGCCAATCTGCTTGATTTCAGACGTGTTCAACACACGGAACTGTGTTCCGTCGTGCTTGGTTGCGGTCTCAAAGATGACTCGCTTGATCTCGAGGTTGAGACCCATGCCGATAGCGTCACTGGCCACGAGGAAGTCGTAGTCGTTGTCCGGGTCATTGAACAGGGCGGCTTGCTGTGCTCGAGTCTCAGGGGGCAGGGAACCGTAGACAATAGCACAGCGTCGCCCGGTCTTCTCTTCAATGGCATTCTTCAGACCGTGCAGGTTGACTCGGGTGAATGCTACGACAGCATCTCCCTTTTGCAGCTTGGACAGGTCGTTGTCGAGACTCTGCTTCATTGTCTCGAGTGGACTCAACCTCTGGTACCTGTGGACGATACATTCGTCGCCGATGCTGGCGCAGATCGACTTGATCAGGTCGACAACACGCTCTTCACCGCAGAGATGGACCTCCTTGGCCATGACGCCGAGCAAAGCTTGCGTCCACGCCCAGCCTCGATCCATGTCGCCAATCATCTGGATTTCGTCAATGACCGCCACGTCGACCATCCGGTTCAGCGGCGTCATCTCGACGGTGCAGCTGATGAAGTAGTTGTCCTCGTCCTCCGGAATGCGCTGTTCCTCTCCCGTAACCATGGCGCATGGCTTCCCCTTGTTCTGGAATCGCATGTAGATCTCGTGGGCCAACAGACGCAAAGGCCCGCCGTAGATTCCCGACTTTGCGTTCTCCAGCGCCTTCAATGCCCGGTACGTCTTACCGGAGTTTGTCGGTCCAACGTGGAGGTGGATGGTGCGCTGCATCGCACGCGTGGCGGGGAACCACTCCATGGGGAAGCGCATGTCGGCCAGCTTCTTCTGTCTCGGTGTCACCTTGGTCAACTTTTGACGCATCATGAAGCTCTGAAACGAGTACTTCAGCTCTGATGTGAGCCCCTTGACGTCTGACCTGACGAATGCATTCCGCAGCGTCCAGAACAGAGGGTTCTCCTTTCGCAACGTCGAGCCCTTGTTCGCCATGTGTATTGACTTCTGTATCGTCTCGCGGAACAGCTGAACTTCGTTGTTGAGCCCATTCTCGCTTTTGATGCCAAAGTCGCGGTACTCGGGGTTCGTATCCGAGTAGGGGCCCATGTTCCTCAAGACAACGTTGAACTGGGAGAGAATCATGTTCCTGAAAGTTTCGTAGTTCTTGCTCCTGTTGGCCTGGTATTTATTGTGTTGCCGGGCAGATCTTAGATTCGGAAGCGATTGCTTCTCGGAAGTCAGCCTGGAGCCTATGAAGGAGTATGGTAGAGGGTGTTGTCTTTCTTACCTTGAATGCGGCCGGGCAAGACGTTGCGAAGCCATGGCTGGGCGCAACACGACTCCTCGCCGCGGAGAGAGTCGCGCTTCGCAAAATCGCTCTCATGGTGGCTTATCTTCTACCCAAGGAAGCATGGCCGGCGACATGCAAAGAACATGCCGCGATTTTTTGATGTTGTTGGTGCAGAGAAGCAAAATCGGAGACAGCAGACAGCCCACCTTCGCCTCCACGCCAGAAAGCTCTGACAGAATGGAACCCGCGTACGAAGTGGTGATGGAAATTTTGGGAGCGATAACCAATGCGCCCCCTGTCGCTGTGCCTTATCAACCAGCGCTCTGATTCGCCCTGTGTTAAAGGTTACGGGGCGCCCCACTACGGTCTAGCGCATCCGCCTCCGATTGACCTTCGTCATCACGCATTCCATTCCCTCGTCGTCGCCGCCATTCTGCGACAAGCGCCCATCATCGTCCCGTTCCCCGACGCCCGACTCTCGCTTCCTGTCCACCACCTACGTACGCATCCCACCTCGTCGCATCGAATACAGCTGCCTGGTCCCTTTTCGCGGCACTACAAAGCTCGAAGAATACCCTCAAGATAACGTCCAAGGATTCTCCGGGTCGCCCCGTATCAATCGCCATGGCTTCCTCGTCGACGCCCATCACCCCTTTGCTCTAGTGAGTCGCCGACAACCGCAATTCCTGCGACACAGCTACCACTGCGCATTCAAGCTGACCACAATCAAATCCAGCTCGTGCATAGCGCACAACAACACGATCCTCTCCGAATGCACGACGTCGGCCTCCTCGCAGACCTCCTCCCTCGCCTCCCTCATCCTCCCCAAGATCGAGCACAGCAGCCCCCAGAAGCTGACCTACACCCACGGCTCCCACCACATCCACTACATCGCCGAGGCCCCCTCCGACCACCCGGACCACCCCTCCGCCGGCGGTCTCACCTTCCTCGTCATCGCCGACGCCTCCCTCGGCCGCCGCATCCCCTTCGGCTTCCTTTTCGAGATCCGCCGCCGCTTCCTCGAGCAGTTCCCTGCCGACTCCACCGACTATGCCGAGCTGCCCAACTACGGCGCCGCCAGCTACAACGGCCAGCTCAAGAAGTTCATGGTCGACTACGGCACCACCTCGGGCGGCAAGGACGACGCCATCTCCAACGTCCAGCGCGAGATCGACGATGTCAGGGGCATCATGACCCGCAACATCGAGGGCCTGCTCGAGCGCGGCGAGCGCATCGACTTGTTGGTTGACAAGACGGACCGCCTCGGCGGTAGCGCGCGCGAGTTCCGCGTGCGCAGCCGCGGTCTCAAGAGGAAGATGTGGTGGAAGAACGTCAAGCTGATGGCGCTGCTTGCGCTGGTCGTCATCCTCATCGTCATGGCGATTGTGATTGCAGTGAAAAACTGAGGGGTAAGAGGGTGGTAACGCGCGCGGTGGCGCGTATGCGCGGGGTGAATGGCGCTTGTTTCGATGGTGTTAGAGAACTGTATCCTCTCCAGATTGGGCAAATGGTTTGAATGGCGAAAACGGGAAGCAACACTACTTTTTTTGGGAAGCAAAACAGGGAGGCTCTAATTTCTTTTTTATCCTTATTACCACCTCGAGGGGCGCTACCTGTGGTAATGATTCCCTGGGACTGTCGTTTGTGGCTTTGCTGGACCACATCCGAATTCACATGATTTTCTATGCTTACTATATTGAAGCTTGCATCATGGGAGTTGTACGAGTGTGACCTAGAAAGTGAAATACTGCGCCAATGCTACAAATGTGCAAGGTAAACATGGCCCAGGTTTAGGCAGATACACCAAAACAAACTGAGCACATGGATTACGCGGGTTGCTCCCAAGAAGATTGGCAGTGTCCACGTCCCTGTGGGCTCATCACGACTTGGCGCAATAGGCATCCATATAGAACAGACAAGCCGACAGAAATACGGTAGAAAGTCGGTCCGATCTTTGCATTCGAACAAAAACAAGGTCGAGAAACCGAGCGCTCCTACGACAGATATGCGCCTGCTTGAGATGACAGGACGCGGACAACGTGGAAGAAGAATGTGGCAAGAACAACGACTGGTTGGGTTTACATGTGAGAATAATCAGACCCAACCCCAACGCCAAACGTAGACACTGTATGAGCATCGCCGTGTGAGCTCACCGGGCCACGATACAATCAACGGCTCTTCATCAACTCCATTTGATCATTCAATCCACTCCGAGATGCCCCCGATCCATAGCCGGGTGAATGGCTCCCACTCGCACGTCTTCTAGATGACGACGCTTGCTTCCCGGCTCAATCTAACAGCACAGTCAATTTCGACACCCAGCCTCCGCATTCTGAAATCACTTACACACATCACGCCTTACTTATCGCTGATGGAATCCTCTCACAACTTCGGCCCCGACGTCCCGTCCGCCCTCCTCCCATCCTGGTAGACGTACCCGTGCGCCACGGGACTCATCCCCATCCCGGGGCTCAGAACTAATGGCGGCCGCCGCAGCTTCTCAGTGAAAAAGACGGGATGCCTGGCGGACGCGTTGTGCTGCTGCTGTGCTGCTGGCTGGAGATGCAGCAGCGGTGGCGGAGGCGGTGGCAGCCGCGATATCGTTGCGGTGTGGTTCGTCATGGCTGGCGGTGCGGCTGCAGGATTCGACATGTTCCCTCGTCAATCATGTATGTGAATATGTTGAATCTAAGATGATCCGGAATTTGACGCCGGCATTAGGAACCCCTTGATAGGGTCTGTCGTCATCTTTAATGTTGCGGGGAAAGGTTACGCCCCCCTTACCCCAATCCAACCCCCCGGATCGGCCGTGCGATAGCTCGCTGAGAAAGGCGACGCTTCGGCTTCGGTGGGGCCGCGGGTTTTGGGAGACGGGTGAGCAGCCGAGGCACGCGACACACACGGGTCTGCAGCAATAAAGTCATGCTCAGTACGCAGCCAGACAATAATGGCTCTAGTATTTTGTCATTAATTGGATCTAATATGATTTTGAGCGCCGGTTCCCTCATGTGTCCTTCTTGGTCTTCTTCTTGCCCTTGGACTTTTGCGCCTCCTTGCCCTTCTTGATGGCATTGACGAGGTCCTCCACCTCCTGCACCTTCTCCGCCTCCTTTGCTTCCTTCGCCTTCGCCTCCTCTGCCGCCTTCTGCCTCGCCCTGACAAGAGCCTGCTCCTTCTCCGTCTTCTCAATCAGCTTGTCGCTCTCCTCCCACAGCTTCTTCGCCACCTCCTCTTCGTGGACGTCCTTCCGCGCAAAGTCCACCTCGCGGCACTCCTTAATCAGCCTGCCGCCCTTCCCGCGCGCCAGGCCCGGCTCCATCGCCGCAAACAGCAACGACTGCGCGCCCTGGTCGGGGCTCTTGAGCAGCAGCCACGGCACAAAGTACGCCGCCAGGTACACGAACAGGCCCCAGAGCGAGCCCCGCGACAGCCAGCGCCGCATGCCCGGCGTGCGCGCGTATCCCGGGTCCACGAACACCACCCGCGAGTTCATCGGCAGCTCGTCCGGCCGCTTGTACGCGTCGAGGTGCTTCTGGAACGCCTGGCCAAAGACCATGAGCGCCATCTTGCTCCGCTTGTACGCCGCGCCGGGCGACCAGGCCGTCTTGCTCAGGGCGGCGCCGTCGGTCAGCGGCGGCGAGCCGATGTAGGAGGGACACGTCGTGAAGAGGATGCGCACGTCGCGGTCGAAGGGCTGCGCCTTGATGGCCGGGCTGAGGATGGAGAGCAGGTGGAAGTTGGCGAGGTAGTTCACCATCCAGGTCTCCTCGAGGCCCTCGGGGGTCAGGCGCGGCTTCGCGGTGCCGGGCGGGGTGACGGTGGCGGCGCAGAGGACGATCATGTCGAGGCGGCGGGGCGGGGAGTTGTCGATCCACTTGGTTGCGAACTTGCGGATGCTGTGGAGGGAGGCGAGGTCGACGTGCTCGGCGTAGATGAGCTCGTTGCCGGTGCGGGCGCGCAGGTCGCCGACGTACTCGACGAGGAAGGGGTCCGAGACGGGCGTGTGCGTGAGGAGGACGAGCTGGGCGCCGCGCCGGCCGAGCTCGTAGGCGGTGCTGGCCCCTATGCCTGACGTGCCGCCCGTGATCATGACCACCCGCCCGTGCATGTCTCGCTCCGAGGGGTTGCTGGCGCCGGAGCAGTACAGCTTGATGAAGGTGAGGACGGCGACGGCGGTCGTCGTCTTGAGGATGAACCACCAGTTCTCGACAGCCCAGGCCGGGGGCCCGGCGGCGAAGACGTAGCCGATGTAGTCGATGGGCATGGTGAACGAGCGGGCTTTCGGGGATGAGGCTGTTCGTAAGGGGTTCAGAAGTCGAGCATCGCACCCAAAGCTTCGTTGTGGAAGCTAGGCAAAGGCTTGTGACGAGGCCACTTCGCTGGGCTTCCTTGGTTTCTAGAAAAAGTGGAATTCTTGACGTGCTCTCAGGGGAGTCAGGGGGAGCCTCCGAATTGCAGCAGGGGCAGGTCCGCCCCTGCCGGCAGCTGCAGGGGAAGGATGGACGGCACATCAGCCGGCTTACGTAAACTTCGCCCCTAGGCTTCAATCTGGATTGGCCTCAACAACCTCTTCTCCATCAGCACCCTCTCATCTTACAAAACCCCAGCATCACCGCGATCAAGTCCGCTGGCTTTTAATCACCGTCAGGAGTGACTTCTGAGTAGGAGTGAGGCTCGTTAGCGCGATGGCGGCGCAGATGCAGAGGCCAGACGATGTTGACGAAGAATACGATGAAGACTACGATGTGCCGCTCCACCACAAAAAGCCGTTTGGCGCAGGCATCCCGCGGAAGCCTATCCAGTTCGTCAAGGCTTCAGACCCGACACTAAGTACGACCAAACCAGAGAAGACAACAAAATCGGGCTCATCAATAGGTGACTTCTATCTCAGCCTGGTTCTTCCCAAGAAGTCCGAGGAAACTCCAGTACCGGAGGCGCATGTATGCGCCGTGTGCGATCTGCCCCTCGAAGAGGAAGCCGTGAAGCAACTAAGTAAGGAAGCGAACGGCAAAAAAGATGCCACCGCAAGGCAGAAACACGAAGCATCCATCGCTCATCAAGTATGCCTGACACACTCACATCCACCGTCGGCACTGGACCGCACGCGCATGGGCTTGACGTACCTCTCATCGCACGGCTGGGATCCAGATTCACGGAAGGGCCTGGGTGCGGCGGGACAGGGTAGGCAATACCCTATCAAGACTAAGCAGAAGGAAGACAAGTACGGTCTTGGATTAGAGATTCCGAAGACGTTGGCGGGTAGAATCGAGAAAAAGAAGCCCCAGACGCTGGATGCGAAGCAATGTCGGAAGAAGGCAGACGAGGACAAGAAGAAATCTGAGAAGTTGAGGCAGATGTTTTATGGAAGCGAAGATATGGATCGATATCTTGGAACTGGTCGATGAATGATACCCAATAGACAGATTCAGCGATACAATTGACAGAATGATAAACATTGTATGAGCTTGGTGTGGCAATACATAATAAGTCTTGTGATGTTCACTTTTTCGCCGTTCAACAGAAGTCTCTCAACCACCTCTGGAAGGTTCCAGTATGAAGCAAAGTGTAGGGCTGAGTGGCCTTGAGGCATAGTCTCAAACACTGCCCCTCTGATGACTGGGCATTTGAAGCTGCTGTTGTACTGCGCGCCCTGAAAAGCAGCCGATCGAAGTCAAGAATCATCTAGCAACCGATTGATGGACTTCGAAACGTTGATATCCTCTGCCTTGCCGAGATGCCTTCTCCAATTCTGAGCGGCGTAGGAGAAACAAGGGAACATGCTCAATCGTGTGTCCATTTCCTCCGCTGTTTGGGCAACTTCACTCAAGAACGAACTCATGGTGAGGTATCGAAAGCATGATACTGCGAGGTCTTTATGATATAGACCCTCATAGCGGTTGCGCAACCAAGTGTGTACAGTGGTATGCACCATACTGATTGCACTTCCTTGGAGAACTACAAGTCCCATGCAAACCTTGAGGATCATCGTCCATCGTACCAGATTCTCTTTGTTAATCACATTAATGCCTTCCTCGGTAGCCAGCCCGTGAGCGAGCTCCGACATTTGAAGCTTCCTCTCGGCGGAGATGATCCATCCCATAACCCGTTTTGCCAGGGTGCAGTGTGATTTGGACTGGGCCTCGATTCTCTGAAGGCTTGATTCGAACGCGTCTTCAAGGTGATTTGGATATGCCATCAGGGCCTTCCGCATTTCTTTGACGTTACTGAGGTCCACGAGATGATCGACGAGAAGCTGGACAAGCAGGAAGCTGTGTACTGTTAGAGTTGCCTAGTCATCCAAATCGTGCCTTATCTCCAGTTCGGGGTGATTTTTGATTAAATTACCCTAATCGCACTCCTCGAACCTGGAGACGATATAGGCCCTCAAGTCATTAGTATCAGCCTGTATCTTCATTGTCGTTTCTTGTTTCAATGCAGAACGCATCTCCGGCGTGGATCTACTAGTGATCAGGATGCTACAGTTGACATGAGTGAAGGGGACTAGAATGACTCTCAGCTCCTTCGGGTTTTTCATCTCATCGGGGCCGTCGAGAACCAGGACGAACTGGTGGACGGCACAGGCGATCTTCAACGCATCGGAGAAGCCTTTAGAACTTCTAGGCCGAAGTATACCCAACTCTTTTCGAAAACTGACGAGCTTCTGAATCGTAGTGGCATCTCCCCTCGCGATGACCTGGCGCAGCAGACCCTTCCAGATTGTTTCTATGGTTTGCTCTTCTCTATTTCCAAAGTCGAAGAAGTAATGTAAAACGTGAATAGGGCTTGAACGAGCGCCTAGGTCTTGGATGGCTACAGCCGCTAGCATCGACTTCCCGACTCCGGAAGGACCATAGCACCAGAGAAGCGGTAGCTTGCTTCCAGCTGTCCACTGCTTGTAAGCTTCTGACCTCAGGAACCAGGCTCCAGTACCCGGCAAGGGTTTTGGGACGGGTCTGGAGGTTTCCTTGGGGTTTCCGAGCCACTCCAGGAGGTCTATCTGGTCTTGGTGGTTGGCAAGGCGTGTGACGTCTCTATGCGTGGCGGTCGCGACGGCAAGCGTTTGCACTGATAGGAAGTCCGCGAAGATGCTCCGGAAACGATGAAGATCCTCAACGTGTTTCTTCAGACTCTTCTCCTGAATCGGCCAGAAAATGCTGGGCGACGGCTTCCGAAGCTCAGAGCATAACTTATCCAACTTTTGAGCGCACTCTGCCACGACGCTCTCGGATTAGTCGTTTGATCGCCTAAATCCAAGATTCTCCTTCGCGAGGTTCTGGGAGACTTCTTCACTCCGCGGGAGGACTTCAGCCAGAGCGGAACTCTCGCGAAGATAGTGTTTCTGTGTGCTGTGTGCGGAACGAATGTCAGCGACGTAGCTGTAGCTGAGCTTGGTGATCTGCATAGCCATACTGACCAGACTGGCAATGCCAGATACCAGTCCTAACACTTCGACCATGGCGAACTGAGCTCAGAAGTTTGGACCAGAAAAGTTATTCTTCCTGTCGCTATTACTGTCGAGGTGATTAACAGGGAAGGAGGAGATACGATTATGAGATACATGAGGTTAGGCATTCTGAGGGGTTGGTCCTCCACCCAACGAGACTACCCAATCAACAATAGGAAGGGCACCATCGCTCTTGCCTAATATGGCTTTGTGCAGCCATGAGAGTGAGTCTAGGAGTCCGCATGGTGGTGTATGAATCAGAGACCGCCTGTTTTTCCTGTGCTATACCGACTACTTTTCCGGTGGCTATAATCTACTTTACTGTCGTCGCTTCTATCATCGTCGTCGTCGTCGTCGTCGTCGTCGTCGTCGTCGTCGTCGTCGTTGTTACTTTCGTCGTCTCCGACAGGAGTAATCAAGTACACAGGAAAATTAGGCGGTCTCATGAATTAAGAGGGTGATGAAAGATGTAATCACATCAGCAGATCGGCAGTGAACGAACGGTCGCTAAGTAGGTTTTGGCTGGCATTTGCAAGCCGGTGCTTCTTTATGGGCCATGCCGCAAAAGAAGGATACCTCGCTAAGTAAACATGATAATGCATTTCTACGAGATCTACAATTCCGGCAGTTTAACGGTAGTGGAGGGAAACGACATGAAATAATCCGGTGTCAGTGCCGTGCCGATCGGGGCGGTGGGCGGTAGGCGGACCGGCGATTGTGCCCGATTTCTAGCTTTGAGGAGACAAAGCGTAGAGTAGGAAAGTGGCAGGCTAGGGGAAGAGGCAGACTCCCATGTGTGCAAGTTTCATTCATACAATAGCAATCAAGCATAAGGAGAATGATCGGGTGAACATCGGTAGCGGACCGTCGTGAAACATACAGGGGACTGTCGGGCGTAAACAGCATCATCCATGCGAGGACAGGAATATCTCCCGAGGCCTACTGTATTGCTTAAATTCTTTCAACAGGAGTAGTTGTGAGAAATGCAAAGGCGGTGACCTCATTCGTTCTGGTTTTGGGGGCCGAAGGTGGGGGAAAGCCGCTAAATCGATTTGCATAGGGACCACTTTAACGAGGGGCCTGTTCGGTGGCCCCGCCAATCCGGCGGCTGCACACTCAATTTGAAGCGCGTGGGCAAGTAGCGGTAGCGCGGCTGCTGCAATCAGGTCACCCTATCCTTAAGGTATCCTCACCGGGACGCCTTCCTTGCTCTGTGCCTGTCTTTGCTACCTGACCTTCCTTACCTGACCTCGAGGTGTGTCCTGCCGCAGGTGCATACTTGGTACCTTTCTTTACCTTACCTTACTCACCTCACCCACCACCACTATCTGAGAAGGTACTTTAGACCACCCTCCCCTACCTTTTCGCAGAACGTGCAGGAATCGCCCCGACGGCATAGCACCTTACCGGACCTGACCCTGCCTCGTCGCTGCTGCTGGTCCGGAGCATTGAGGGTCCCACCGCTGTGACCGGTTCTCCCTCCATCTTGAAACCCCGCCAGACCAAAGAAACGTCTGCTTTGCTGGCTCGACACCGCAACGCAACAGAAACAGACAATCCACGCCAGCGACACAGACACTGACGATCGCAACTTCTACCAGTCGGACAGAGACTCGTTCCCTCCTCGCCCGGACGTCCATCCTCCTGCCACCACCGAATCCCACGCAGCAACCCAGCGCAGCACCGCGCATTCCAGCCTCGCCCGTCTGTCAACCCGTCAACCTGCTTGCTCTACGCCAGCTCGCCGACCTGCGCACTGCAACCACTTCGTCGCTCTGCACCGCGTGCGAGCTCACGACGATCCGCCTTGTAGCGACCGCGACTCACCTCGCCCATCCGCTCAGCATCCTGCCTCGAGCCGCTGCCCACGCGGCAAGTCGCCACGATGGGTGCCTCCACGCTTCATGAGCTCCACGATGGTACGCATTTTCTCATGATCGGCTTGATCTCCCCTGCGCGCCGCTGCCGCTACTCTCCAAGAACTAATCCCTCCAAATAGTTGTCATCGACACCATCAAGAACATCACTCGAGGCGACGTGAGCTACCCCTCCTCTGGATCCATCCCCAAAAAGCCACCCGAAGCTAACGACGCCTGCAGTGGAAAGTCCTAGTAGTCGACGAAGATTCCAAGAGAGTCATTGACAATGTCGTCAAGGAAGATGACATCCTCAACCACAATATCGCCAGTATGCTGCTCCATGATCCGCCCGCCCTGTCTCTTTGCGACGAGCCCTGCCTGACCTCTGCCCCCAGACATTGAGCGCATCGAACAAAAGAGGGACATGAACCCCGAGATGGACGCCATCTACATCCTATCCCCCAAGGAGAACATCGCCGAGATCCTCGTCAACGATATCGAGCGACGCAGATACAAGAAGTCTTTCCTGGTCTGGATCGGTGTTCTTGAGCCCCGAGTCCGCCACCTGATTGACAATTGCCCGGGCGCCAAACGGAGCATCGCCGGTTTCGAGACCCTGTCGATCGACTTCTTCCCCCGCGAGTCGCACCTCGTTACCTTTAGAGATCCTTGGAGCTTCCCGATCCTGTTTCACCCCGGGTGCAACAACCTCGTTGCACGTCATATGAAGATTCTCGCGCAAAAGGTAGGTTGATTGGGACACCATAAGCTGTGCACTTGGCTCACGAGCCCAACCAGATCACCGGCGTCTGCGTCACTCTGGGCGAATACCCGAAAGTTCGTTATTACAGACCGAAGAACCCCCTTCACGAGGCCAGCGTGCTCTGCGCCCATCTTGCCCGTTTCGTCCAAGAGGAGTTGGACGAGTATGCGCAATGGAACCAGAACTTTCCGCCGCAAACATCGAGACCGACGGGTACCCTTATCATTACGGACAGATCGATGGATTTGATGGCTCCTCTGGTACACGAGTTCACCTACCAGGCAATGGCCCACGACCTTTTGGATATTAAAGACGGCGACAAGGTAACATACCACATGG